TGGAGTTAATGGCCCAGATAAGGAGAACCGGATTTTTAGAACTTATCCATACCTTCAAAACTCATGGAAACGTCTTAAATTCTTCAAATTTTGAGTACCCCAGTGCGAAATTCGCCCCGACGGGTTGTCGGGCGTACCCCAACCACATTTCACACTACTATGAACAATAAATGCACACACAGAAATCGCTATTACCGATATGCTCATCCAATCAAGTTTCGATAAACCCGTTCATCATCAGCTCCTGCGGTTTCGAACACGCCTGTTAGGTAGTGCGGTAGACCGCGCCCAAAGCCAGGGCCCCGGTAACGTGAGGTAGCCGAGTCAGGGCAGCGTGCGCTGACCCAAGCCGGAGCCGCGCGTCCTCCCGGTGTCATGTGATAGCCCGGGGCTGCCCGCGGGGATGCGGTAGACCGCGCCCAAAGCTGCGGCCCCGGCTTGGGTCAGCGCACGCTGCCCCGACTCGGCTACCTCACGTTACCGGGGCCCTGGCTTTGGGCGCGGCTTCTGCTCATACTTTGTGGTGCGGTGGTGGTGCGTCGGGCCGCGCGCTCTGACTTCGGCCAAGAAAAATGCGTCAGCTGATCATTGTCATTTCTGCCACTTGCGTGTGGTGAAATGGGGTCATAACTTATGAGACGGCTTTTTCATATCAATTATTTTACATAAAATCATATTTCAAACCATAAATAATGTTCGACAGCCAAATAAAAGAAACAATACCAATACAGGCTTACAGTTTAAGGCTCGACATTGTGTTGTCTACGATTAGACAGCTGATAACTCATTCCCGTACGTCGTATGGTCGTAACATTATAATGACCTTTGCTTATTGTCACATGTGCGCCGCATTCGCGATTGTTGCCGACGCCTGTTTGCAGGTGAGCCCACTACAGTTGTTATACATATCTAAAAACCGATAAACTTTTAGGCGAAAAAGGCACTATTCCAGGCCCATTTTTGATTTTTTTTTGCGATATTAGGTAAAAACAGAAGCTTCTTATCCTAGGAAAAATAAAATGGGAAATCTTTGAAAGGTGGCACACTACCTTTAAATGATGATATGAAATAATAAATGATAAATGAATGAAAGTCACGTGACTACTACACGTTTGCGCTCAGTACTAACATAACTAGCCCGAGGGCCGGTCCGTAGCTGGGAGGGGTAGAAAGCCAGAGCTCCAGCGCGGTGGAGGTGGTGGTGGCCCGTATCATAAAGAGGCAGCCGTAATCAGAACTACAATTGCCGCAGTATGAGATTACGATTAAGTTTTCTTTAATTTTTTTGATCGACAAGAAAGTGCAATGCTTATCAGATATAATAAAACTGTGCCCAAGGCCTTGGAAGAACTGTAAAACATATTCAGGGACGTATAAATGTATGATGCAGGCCATGACCTTTCACCTTGCCCCCGGGGAGGACCGCTCAGGATTCAGGAATCCACATACCGAACGAATCGAGGCCTCGTAGCGCGGCGGCAGACGAGGTGGATAAACCATCGCCATATCTTTCGGTTACTTATGTTTCCAGAAAGAAGGGGGTGAGGGCTGTTTTCAACCCACTCACCAATCCTTTCCTTATTAAGTTATAGCTTACCGAAAAAATGCTTACTGAAACAATGGTGGCCGTCACGAGATGTAGCGAATAGTGCCTCAGCCACACCGGTTTTGAGTAAACCTTGAGCATTGGAATTCAGGCCAGTGATCCTGAAGCATTATTCTATTTTTGTCGTGCATAAGCTGGGATGACGTGGGTAAAGTTAATTGCGAAGAAACGGTTTTAGTTTCAGAACATTTCTGAGGCTAGTCGCGCCAAATAACTAGCATACGTTTGTTGCAAATTGTCAAATAGAATGTTGACGTGCTATCCAGATGATGGAATTTATACCGACACAAGAAGTTAAAAAATGGCATCGTTAGTCATGCTGCATAGGGTAAGAGCGGGTAAGAGGACGCGGGCGATAAGAGTACGCATCAGCTGTTTCGGTTGCTTAGCAACGCGGGCTTGTCGAGTTCATGAAGTGACATGAAGCCGCCAGCAGTGCGTGTTTGTCACCAACGGAACGTGGGCGTTGTGCGGCGACGCTGTTGAGTTTAAGGCGATGAATATTATTTTCGAGCGTTATGATATTATGGTATGGTACAATAATTTTAATACTTGGCAGTTGAGATAAAGAGGATTCTTCATGGCTCCGAGTGGAAGATAAGGATATCTTTTCCAAGCGGGCCACTGAAAAACCGAGCGACGAAGGAGCGAGGTTTTTCTGTGACACGCGAGGAAAAGATATCCGATCTTCCACGAGTGAGCCATGAAGAATCCTATATCTTTCTATGTTGAGGTTTATTCCTAATTAATTAAATATTATATTTAAATGTATTCATCTATGTAAAAATAGCTTCAGAGTAGTGTGCTTTTACTTCATAAGTTTCATCCACAAACAACCATTAAAAATGTCGTTCGGTTATTGACCCATTATCACTTGAACTCTTGATTTTTGGCTATGAACCCTCGAGACCTTATCTTTGCATCTCAGAGGGATGCAGATATAACAAATTCTTATCTTTGCATCTCAGAGGAGTGCGAGATAGAAATATCCCTGCACTGTAGACCCAATGGCAAATAAACCTCAACTAGAAAGATAAGGTACATTTTCGTGGTTGCTGTGGGAAACTTCTGAGGTTTTCTGGGGAAATACTGTGCAGTGCAATATTATGTTTGTGAAGTTTTGCACAATGTTTGGGGTTTGTTTTGTGCGCGAATTGCATGTAGGGTAAGAGGGCACACTGTTCATGAGGGTAAGAGTACGCAGAATTATGCATTATATCGAATATACAGAAATATAAAATTATTTGTATATTGCTCAATGACGTTTTTATAAGCTATATCATCAATGGAGCACTGTGAGGCAGATGTGTACCTACCCGAAATTCTTCCAAATACGAGTTTTTCTCCCTTTTGATTGTACTTTTTTAGAACCACATGACATGATTATTTCATGACTTATAAATTTACAAGATTTATTTTGTTTGTCTTTTTGGATACTAGAATTTAATTAAATGTCTTGAGTTTGATGTTAAGCATTTGGACAGTACAAACTGCATTGGTATGTGTATTCATTTTACTGCCTGGCCTTCTCGATTTAAGCGTGCAATGTTGCATGTACCTATGGGAAAAAACACGCAAATGTTTATATGCCCCATGATGTGGTTAAAAAACTGCTGAAAATAAATCTTTAAAAAAATTAAAGATAGCTACTTCATCGATTTTATCGAATGATAACCCCTATGCCTAATTACTTATTTCTTGCCACTGACAAAGGCACTTTGTTGTGCGCAACGTCTGGTTTTATTCGTATTGTTATTGTTTTGTCATTCCCTGTGAGAAAAAGTAAAGCTCTTCAGTTCTAACCATAACAGTGAATCGGCTTAATGGTACACTTCACTGTGTATGCGAAACCTATAGGTCCCTAAAAATAATCCTATTTACAGCTTTCAAAAAGAAACAGTTTATATAGTTGATGACCCTAGCTTTATAAGTAGCCCGACTGAAGGTGACGGTTTGGTCGACTCGATTCGCTTCGTGCTAAATTCTAGTCAGACAGTTATGTCCCGTCGCCTGCTGAGGCTTTTGTGCGCCTAACCTGCTTTGTGCATTATGCTACGATGTTGTATCTTTGCGTCGTGATGAGTGTCATCTTTTGTAATATTGTTCTTATGTTTTACTGTATGCTTTGTCTTGTCTCGAAAGGACGCATAATAAATTGATTAATTGATTGATTGATAGCTAAGGCACACAATTTTTTCCGCACCAAGACAATATTCATTCATCTCCACAGAATATGTTAACCCGCGCCCCGTAGGGGGGGGGGGTGCCGAAACGGCCCCCCTGTCCTTTTCCGTCGATATCTCCTAAATGGCTGCAGATATCGCCACCAAACTTTCAGGACCCCTCCGGGCATCAATTTTACACATTGTAACCAAAAAAATTTCCAGTGGCTATGATAGTTAATAAAACTATGTTAATAAAACTCCGCGCAAGTGGCGCGAAAAAAAAAATAAGCGCAGTTGGCGCTTCTGGTTCACAAGTGGCGAATGGGACGTGTCCTGTTAATAAAACTCTGCGCAAATGGCGCAACAACTGAGCGCAGTTGGCGCTGAAGCTTCGAAAGTGGCGGAAGAAACTGGAAAGAGAGTACCTTCGTCCGGAGCCAAAGCCCCACAACTGTGCTGGACACCCAGGTCACATGGTGGCGAATCATTAGACTAGCAATTAACAAAGTTTTATAACAGTTAACTTTACCGAGAACCGAAATAAAAATAAAAATCAAATATAATTCGTGAATAGAGGGGAAACACGTGCCGAAAAAAATTAAATAGCAGAAGGCTCGTGAACTATCTAAACCCCTTATACTGTTGTCGCGCAGTAACCCTGTGGACCAGTAACCCCCAGGAGCAGGACTGTGCGTTACTGTGGACCAGTAACGCAGTAACCCCCAGGACGCACCGCTACGTGTCCGACCGCACCCCGGGGCGCAGCTAGCCAGCTGACAGGTCGCCTAACCTACCCGGACGGACCCTGCCCCGGGGCGCGGACGGCCCGCCGAGGCACCATGCGGCGCCCGATAGGGCGGGTGGGGTTTTTGCTAACAGCGATGGATTTTGATAAACTAAAAGGACCCACACCAGGGCATTTATTATTGATGTCCGCTTTAGCAACGATCAGCTTGTCCCAGTACTAATGCCAATGCCATATAAGCGGTAGGGGCCATAAGATTATTGGAAAGAATAAAATCAAGATCCATCTGCAGAAAATCAAGAGCCATTAGCCATATCAATCATAGCAAAAATGCATTCATAATAGGCGACAGCATACTCGTATACAGCCAATTTGCTAAATCAGCATCTCAAGCAGAACAAAGTGAGAACAAAATGCATCTCGATGCTATGGGCGCCTGCCATGCATCTGCCCGGTATGACCAAAAGGGCCGCATATCTCTCACCTGTCCGAGAGCACTGTCGAAGCAGAAAGTCACCAGAGCGAGCCCAATTCGAATGGCCCGGCACTGCCGGGCGAACGAGGCAGAATGAAGCGGCGGCCCGCGCGTTGGGCCGCCGTCCGATGTGGTTGACGTCACATGTCACGTGAGGTCAGGACCAGGTGGTGTGACGTCACCCTGGCAGTTGCTCACTGAGAGGCGACCAATAAAAGCGTGCAGACTGGCCGCCGGCCGTCTGAACATCATATCTCCACAGAATATGTTAGCCCGCGCCCCGTAGGGAGGGGGGCCGAAACGGCCCCACCCCCCTGTCCTTTTCCGTCGATATCTCCTAAACGGCTGCAGATATCGCCACCAAACTTTCAGGACCCCTCTGCGCATCCATTTTACACATTGTGACAAAAAAAATGCCAGTGGCTATGATAGGTTATCCACAAATGACGTCAGAATGACGTCATGTTGTGTCATTTTCGACCGAAAAAAGACCTTCGCGAGAAGACATGTCAGGCCTACAGCTTTGAAGATACAGAAAAACGATCAAGACATAAAGGGTGTAGAATTGACAATGCTGCAAAAATGCTATCTCGGATTTTTGAAATTTTTGAGTTTTGATCCTGAAAAATCAAAAAAGCTTTTTTTGGATTTATTAGCCAAAAATCCAAAAAGTTTTTTGAGTTTCGAAACAAACAGAATATATGTGATAGTACCTTTCGTTTTCTATCTACATACCAAATTTCAGATCGATACCTCGTTTTTTGGCCAAGTTATAGCGGAAAAAAACTGTTCAAAAATGATGACGTCAAAGTTTCAAACTCAATTATTGGCAATTCTAGACCTCGTAGGGCAAAACAAAGACCACCATTAGACTCCCCGTGACGAGCTGCATCGAATCAATACCCATTTTCTGCAAAAATATCAACTTTGAAATTTGACCTAATTTGACCTGACCTTGACCTGACCTTGACCTGACCTTGACCAAAACGTGACCTAAGCTGGCCCCAAGGGCTGCCTGACCCATATAATCGCATTTGGCATGTAAAATGGACCATAAAACATGTTTCACACGACACTTTCATATTGTGACCCCCGGTGACCTCGCTGAGACCTGACCTGGTATCAGTGACCTGAGATAGCAAAGTATGTGTTTGACGAGCAATGTACCATTGATGGTTTTCAATGAATTACCAATTTACTCGATTTCACAACACATTTCTTGAAATGCCTGTGAACGGTGAAAATCCGACCTTTGACCTGACCTGTGACGTCATTGGTTTGACCTAGGTCAATGAAGTTCGGTCACAAGGTAGTTCCTTGGTGGGGCTATCGAACGCCGTTTGAATTTTGAAAATCGGCCGGTAAATTTCCGAGATCTCAGGGGGGCCGAATCACCCCCCCCCCCCCCCCCTACGGGTGGTATGGTCCGCCGATAGCCCTACGGGGCGCGGGTTAATTACAGAGCAATGGACATTTCAAACCTGCAATGTCGGCAAAAACCGTTGACCTTTCATGACCTATAACTTTGACCTTAGAGGTCACCTAGGCCTAAAACTTGCTAGTTGTATTTGTTTTATATGTGCTAAAAGCTAACCAAATTTCATCAAAATCGAAGGGGGTCGGGTACATTCGTGATCGATTTGACGTGGAATGACCCCAAAACAGGCCTAAAGGTAGTGAAGGTTGATCGTATACGAAGTCATATATGGTATATGGGGCCATTCCGACGCGTTTTAGTGGGAAAAACAGGGAGTTGATATTTCCCCATTGACTTATAATGGGGAGGTCGTGAAATTGAGCTGACCTTAGGTCATTGATATCAAAATTCCGAGATACACAAATTGTAGCTACCAATGACCTAACAACATCCTGCGACTTTCAACATCCTGCGACATCCTTCCTCCCTCATCTACTGTAGCTCTGACACGGTGACAAAGTTGCAAAAAAAGTGACTTGAGGTTGGGTCATTCAAAGTGACCTGGTGACCTGACCTTAAAAGTTAGGAGGTTCAAACTTGCACACCATGTGTAAAATTGATATGAGAAAAGTCATGCCAAATATCGCGTAGCGCCGCGGTTTTTCCGCTATTCACGAAAAACCTCAAGGGACGGGTAACCGCCCCCCCCCCCCCGTAGGTGCCGCGGGTTAAGTTCAACCTGACCTGAAAGGTCTGATGTCTGATGTCTGAAGGTTGGATGGAAGGACTGACCTGATGAGGTAAAATTGGGTATCATTGGATTCGTCTCTTCCCAAAGAACTTGTTGCTCTTATACCGCGAAGCTCTATCTCCAGCAGGAACGAAATGGCGCGGGGGTGGCAACCCCCCCCCCCCCCATGTGCGTTCTAGGATGGGAAAGTGGCATGTGTGGGCGAGGGTTTACCGTGCTTTCTTATAACCAAGGTTCGATTTTGGAGTCTCCAAATTGACAATCTGATTTTCTGCGATATTTTTCGTGACTAGCTTTTTCGACCGAAAATGGACTAACATGCCTACCTGTATGCCAAGTGCCTACCTGTTTGACCTCTAACTCATAATTTGAGATGACCTATAACAGGACCTATTTTTCAGGAGTTGCAAGAAATTGATGTCCGAAGATGTACTGAAAACGGCGAGTAAAAAATCCGCGGCCGTTTTTTAGTTATCTGCAAAATACACAGGATGGGGCTTTGCCCCCTCCCTTCTAACCGGTCACGGGCTAGTACATTAGCGACATTTCATACATGATCGTTGCTGGCTGCTACCGGGCGAAATAAAAGTCGCTCACCAATGACGCCGTCCGCCAGCCGCCTGCACGATGCTCGCCGATGACGGTTCCGCCTTCCCGGTCGGCCGTCGGGCGCCGAGTGCACGTCAGAACAGACGGCCGGCGCTGCTCCGCGCTGCTCACCGCCGCGGTCCGGCCGCACCAATCACAATCACGCCGCGTTTGGCAGTGTGGCAGCCCCACCTCACAGGGCTTCGACGTCATTTGGCTGGCCCTTGAAATAGAGCTAGAAGTGTCTGTGCACAGACGTTCTGGTGCATTAATCCGCGCCCAGTTAAGGGACGGGGGGGGGGGGGTGAAAGGGCCCCCACTCTTTTTCAGCCGATATCTCCTCAAGTATAGCAGATATCGTCACCAAACTGTCAGGACCCCTCCGGGAATCAATTTCACACCATGTGACAAAAAAGCTTTTCTAAAACTAATGATATCATGGGCACAAAGGACGTCAAAAAGACGTCATATTCTGCCATTTTATGCCAAAAAAAGTTTTGCGGAAAGAGCTGTCAGCCTACAGTATTGAAGTTAAAGAAAAAAATTAAGATAAAAAAGATGTAGAAATAACATTGCTAGGCCATTGCTAACACTGTTAGGCCTCTGGTGCTCCTGACACTGTCAGGGGCACCATAGGCCTGACAGGCCTGTGGTGTCCCTGGAAGGACTGTGGTGCCCCTGGGCCCTGACAAACCTGAGGTGCCCCTGACAGGCTTCTGGAGCCCCTGACAGGCCTGCGGTGCCATTGCTAGGCCTGTGGTGCCCCTGGCAGGCCTGTGGTGCCCCTGGCGGGCCTGTGGTGCCCCTGGGTCCTGGCAGGACTGTGGTGCCCCTGACAAGCCTGAAGTGCTCCCGACAGGCCCGTAGAGCCCTTTACAGGCCCAAGGTGTCCGTGCGAGGCTGGTGATGCCCCTGTGAGGTCGATGGTGCCCCTGAGCTGACAGACCTCCTGGCAGGTCTGTGGTGCCTCCTGGCAGACCTGTGGTGCTCTTGCTAGGCTGATGGTGCTCCTGCAGGCCTGTGGTGCCCCCATCAAGCCTGTGGTACCCCTGACAGGCCCGTGGTGCCCCTCGGCCGGCCGGAGTCGCCGGTCCGACCCGCGTCACGGCCCCGTACGACCGGTCCGCTCATGCTATCCCAATATCGCAACACTAGGCCTGTGGTGCCCCTGATAGGTCGGTGGTGCCGGGCCCCAAGGGAGGTCATAAGTGACCCATCTTCCTTTGGATCCGCCACTGTGATCTGATCACAACCCCCAGAAATAAATAATCGTATAATCATCAGTTGCTTCTCTTGTATTCAACATACGAGAAAATGGACAACACTATTGCCGGCTGGGTCATTTATGACCCAAGGATATTTATCGAGGAAAAAAATGTTATCCGATGGCGACAAGAAGGGCAAAAATATACATCATGCCTTTTTCAGACAAATTTCCTTGCCAGGTGATCGATCATTCAACAGATAGTTAAGTGCAAACATAATATAATATTGCTTTTTGGGGCGGCGCGCCATTGCGAGTGACCGGCGGCTGTGCAGTCCCGTCGTCTTTGGCTCCAGAAACTTCAGTGGACGAGCTCACACAAGTTTTATGCGGCTCCGACGCATAAAACATGGGGGGGGGGGGCTAACGGGACCGGGTGACCCCCTGAACAGAGCTTGAGAGGTGCACGCCGCGGGTCCACCACTCGACTGCAGATCGCCCGCACCCGTGTCACACGCACCGTGTGGATCCCAAGGCTTCGGCATGGACTAGCTGTTCATCAGCCATTGTAACAGTCACAGACTGTTTATTTTTTAGGCACTACTTTTCCGCTGGGCATGAGGTACCCGGCCGGCGCGAGGTCGCCAGTGAGGTGGTCGTCCCGATGCAGGAACTCGCAGGAGACGGTGACGGCGCCGGCCGGGTCCCGGCTCACCAGCAGCCGCGTCTGAGCCGTGTTCCAGCTGACGTGCAGGTCGCCGGCCGGCAGCTGCTCGGCCGTCAGCTGCAGGCCGTGCTCCCGCTGCAGCGCCAGCAGCAGGCAGAGCATGATGCTGCCGTGGGTGAAGACGGCCGCCTCGCCGCCGCCGGCGCCGTCCGCCGTCATCTCGTCCACCAGCCGCCCGAAGAAGCCGCCCACCCGCCGCTGACCCTCGGCCAGCGTCTCCATGCCGGCGATGGGCACCCCGGTGCGGAGCGACTCCGCCTGCATGCGCCCAGCCTCTTCGAAGGAGAGTCCTTCGAGCGCGCCGCCCTCGCGCTCGCTCAGCAGCGGCTCGAGACAGGGCTCCGGCTGGGGCGCGAGGCCGGCGGCTGCCAGCGCCCTCTGGCACGTCTCCAGCACGCGGCTGGTGTCGCTGCTGTAGACACGCCGGAACGCGGCGCCCTCGGCCCGCCAGGCGGCGCCCAGCGCGTCCGCCTGCCGGCGCCCGGTGGCGTTCAGCGGCGACGGCGTGTGCGAGGCGATCACGCGGCGCACGTTGTCGTCCGTCTCACCGTGGCGCACGAGGCGCACGTGGAACGAGGCGGCCATCGTCGGAGCAGAGAGCGACGGCGGGCTGAAAGACAGAGAAAATGGGTAAACGAGGTCCAACAAAAAATGGACACAATCGGCAAAAGATGTTGTATGTACGAGTACGTACCTGTGTGTGCTCTACCCAAGTCCATATATATGGCTCTACCTATGACTGTGCATAACAGTCATGCGATCCTGAACATGGAGACCATTTGGCAGAGCTGCGCCGGTGTCCGTGGTTGGCTGCCTTCCGGCCGCTTGAATTCATTGATTTAATTCAGGACAGTCATACTTATTTCTGATGTGTCTCTCCTCTTCCACTGAGACGGAAAAACCGTCAGAATTGCATATAGGAACACGAGAGGATTTAGGCCATTCCTTTTCTGTGGACAGCATCGAGAAGCTCAACGTTTCCAAGTAGGCAAGATGATCTGGAGATGCTACTGTGGCCGTCTGTTCTAAAACACTTGATTATCAGGTTCTTTAACTCTCGCCGGACATATTGGTTTTCTACATGACCCGAAAATGCAGTTGGTGTCAAAAGATCCGGCTTGAATCAAAGGTCAGGTATGCCAAGTTTCAGCTCTCTATCTCCAGCGTGTTCGGAGAGCTATCGCGAAAAAAAAAATCCTATGGGGGCGTCACCCGCCCCCTCCCCTTGTCCGGCGAGGGTTAACTCACTTGGAGCATCCCACCGGAAGCACTGACAGCCGGAGAAGGACTTTGCATTCAGTTTTTTTTTTTGGCATTGACTTTGCGGGATTAATCAACTGACTGTTTTGCAGGGAGGTAGCGGAAGGCTAGGTAGGTATGTCGCATGAGAAAGGGTTCACTTACCTACTTGGCATATTTCCTAAACCCTAATATAAGCATTTGCACAAACTCAAGTTTTAATTATTTGTAGGGTATCCTCTGAGTTCTGAAAGGCTCACGTCCAGCTTCTCATCACACCACTGACCACGACTGGACCAGTACCTAACTGCTGGGACAGGTAGGAAGGAGCCCCCTCCCGTAAATAAATCCACGCTCTCCCTCACACAGACCGGGGCCTCTGGAGGAGTTGCTCACCTGTGTGGCATGGAAGTGATACACTCTACACCGCTCGGAGCAGCACACCCCACCCTGTGCGCGCGCGCCGACAGACAGTGACTGGCCACTTTACCCGGGCTCTGTTCAAGGTCGGACCGTGTTCGCGCCACGCGCGACCGGTGTTCAAGTGCGTCCGCGCCGTCCGCGCCGTCAGCGGCGGCTCGGGCGGCCGGCTGTCCGGTGGCGGCCGGCGCCCATTGGCGGAGAGGCCGCCGGCACCGGCCAATGGGCGGCGCGTGTGTGCAGTGTGCACTATGGACTGTGGACAGCCGCGGTGTCAGGTGAGCGGCCGCGCGCGGCGCCATATCGATTGTCCTCACCGGTCGATAAGACCGCGGCTGACCGAGACCGTCTTAGGTATCGCACCTGTCACTGAGCTCAGGGAAATCCGGGCCAGATAGCTAGCTGCTCGTAGCATCTTACATAGGTGTGTGTGGGCGAGAGCCAGACAGTTGCGTGTTAACCCTCCCCCCCCCCCAGGTAGTCTTTCTGCTATGCACTCAACATTTGTATAGCGCTAGAAGCCTGATTTTTCGTATAGCTGCTCCTCTATCCTTTCTTGATGTCCACTGAAAATTTCAAGTTTCTGTGGTCTTTAGTTTCGGAGATATGACCTTGTTTTTCAGGTCAGGTCATGACCCAAATGACCAATTCTCAACATCTTGCGTTGGCTATGGGCCTTGTGATTTTTTGACACCTTGATTTCGGCTTTTTTTGCCAGTCTTACCTCCCACCTATCATGGAACATATGTTGCTCGACGATGTACAGATGTCAAGGTCAGGGTCAAGGTCAACCTAGGTCATCTAAAATAATTGCGTTTTAGGCAAGCTGAATTTACTTTTCGTGAAGTTTTTTGACTACATTTTTGGTAAAAGCTTCTCAGATCATGATTTCATGTAATATGGACACATAAACAATCGGTGCACACATCAGTATACACACAGACACACACAGACATACAAACACATATCATTGACCTTGACCTAACTTGACCTGAAATGACCTCAGCAGCAAAAACCTGGTCGGGTAGTGTGACAAAGAGGTTCTAGCTGGCTTGGCACCAGAAAACGGCATCGTCATCGGTATACGAGTATGATAAGCAGCGCACTTGATATCCAACGGTGACCCAAAACAGCAACATTTTTTAGTTTGACCTGTCCTGGAAGGTCAATGACTGACCTGAGAAGGTAAAACTGGGTATCATTGGATTCGTCTCTTCCCAAAGAATCTTTTTAGTCTTTACCGCGAAGTTCTATCTCCAACAGGACCGAAATGGCGGGGGATGGCAATCCCCCCCCATGCTCGTTCAAGGATGGGAAAATGGCATGTGCGGGCGAGGGTTAAACGGCGCGAGAATCTTGCTTTCCGCTTCTCCATAGAATGTTGGAGACTAATGCAGCAGTAGCTTTAACCTTAAGGAGTTATTTCGCACCCGTAGCGTTTATAAAAGGAAGCCTTCGAAGGCTACTGCTATCTTCGTCAGTCACATCTGTGTTACGGGCAATATGCCAACTTGGGTAGGGGCACTGCCCAGTTATTTAAAGGTAGTGTGCCACCTTTGAAAGATTTCCCATTTTATTTTTCCTAGGATAAGAAGCTTCTGTTTTTACCTAATATCGCAAAAAAAATCAAAAATGGGCCTGGAATAGTGCCTTTTTCGCCTAAAAGTTTTTCGGTTTTTAGATATGTATAACAACTGTAGTGGGCTCACCTGCAAACAGGCATCGGGCAACAATCGCGAATGCGGCGCACTTGTGACAATAAGCAAAGGTCATTATAGTGTTACGACCATACGACGTACGGGAATGAGTTATCAGCTGTCTAATCGTAGACAACACAATGTCGAGCCTTAAACTGTAAGCCCGTATTGTATTGTTTCTTTTATTTGGCTGTCGAACATTATTTATGGTTTGAAATATGATTTTATGTAAAATAATTGATATGAAAAAGCCGTCTTATAAGTTATGACCCCATTTCACCACACGGAAGTGGCAGAAATGACAATGATCAGCTGACGCATTTTTCTTGGCCGAAGTCAGAGCGCGCGGCCCGACGCACCACGCGTATTTGGAAATTCCGACCTCGACGAGCATCAGAAGCCACTTAACAGGCGTGTTCGAAACCGCAGGAGATGATGATGAACGGGTTTATCGAAACTTGATTGGATGAGCATATCGGTAATAGCGATTTCAGTGTGTGCATTTATTGTTCATAGTGGTGTGAAATGTGGTTGGGGTACGACCGACAACCCGTCGGGGCGAATTTCGCACTGGGGTACTCAAAATTTGAAGAATTTAAGACGTTTCCATGAGTTTTGAAGGTATGGATAAGTTCTAAAAATCCGGTTCTCCTTATCTGGGCCATTAACTCCATACGGTCCAAGAAAGCTGGCACACTACCTTTAAGCCTCGCCGGCCGAGGGGAGGGGGCGGGTGCCCCCCCCCCATTGGTTTTTTCGCGATAGTTCCGAATACGCTGGCAATGTAGAGCTGAAACTTGGCATACCTGACTTTTGCTTCAAGCCGGATCTTCTGACATCAACCGAACCGCATTTTCGGGTCAGGTCAGGTCACTGACCTATGACGTCATAAGTGAACCTCTACACACGGTCTTCAGATGTCGCAACTTTGCAGCGCCCTCACTGCCAGGGGAGCTTTCACAGGTAGATGAAATTTGCAGGACCTAGTATAGTATCCATTAGGACTCTTACAACTTGTATATCTCGGACTTGTCCTAAGGACATATGAGGTTAGGTCATTTTCGTGACCCCACCATTACCTATAGGTAAGTCATCTTTAGATATGGAATTATTGTAGGTACTGGGACATGTTTATGGTAAAAAGAGTTATTCCACACTAGTAACGTTCATATAATTGGTATAGCTTATAAATGGGGAAAAGTGAAAACTGCTATTTTAGCAACGGGAACGATCTCAAACTATCTCAACCACACGGAATCGTGATTTCCTGCAATCTTTGCAAGTTTCGATGCTTCACTTTTGCGTTGTTGACCTTGAGTGACGTCATTTATGACGTCACTAGGGTCATAACAGTTTTTCGTCAATTACTCCTGATCAAATTGAGAAAGCGAGTCCGGAAAGCCACCAATGGACTAGTGAAGACCTGCCGAACCGAATGATATGCGATATGACCTCCTTCGACCAGGTTCGTGACCTGGGGGCTCTGACCTGACCGTGGCCCGAGGTCAACACCTAAAGTTGACGTCACCCATAGGCAGTCTAAAGAGCCACCATCGGACTTGAGAAGTCCTGCCGAATCGAATGACAAGCGATTTGACCTCCTTTGACAAGTTTCACGACCTGAGTGGCACTGACCTGACCTTGACCTAAGGTCAACACGCTAAGTTGACCTCATCCACCCAAAAAGTATAGGTATCATTCAACGCACGTTAAACGTACGATAAACATGATGGCGCCAAAGTCGTGGCTCTGCGATCGTTATTGATGAAATCATTTACCAACAACCGAGTCCGTATCTTAGGGCACTTGACCTGACCTCAGAGGTCACCGGTTGACCTGAGACCTTAAAATCGGGTGCCAGTCGCTGCATCTCATAACGGCGCACACGCTCGTTGGCTTTTTTTTCTGCGAGACTCTTGCTCAAGAAGGAGCGAAATTGTGAGGAGGGGCCGCATTCGCACCCCTCCCCCTTCGGCCGGATGTATGAAGAAAACCGATAGGCCCGGCGAAGGTTAAACTATCAATGCAGGTGTTGCTCGTTATGGCTTACCTGATGAAAAATATGTTTTATTCGTTACCCCAATTAAATGCAAATTCGCAAAAAAAAACATGGCTTTATACCTTTCTTCCGCATAACGAGCAAATAATGGCGGCAATGTTATCAGTTGCATCATGCTCAACCCCCATCACGAGGCACGACGCACACTTGTGACGACTCGGTCAGGAAAGCTGTATCACGCAACACAGCTGAGTTTCTAAATTCTAGCGAGTTTCACAGCCGAGCATGCCGAGCACATTCAACTGCAGCAGGCGGCAGCGCGCAGAATGACTGACAGAGGACGGCTGAGCGAGCGCTGCATGCGCCGGTATGTAATTTATATAACCAGTATGTGCCGGTATAGTTTCTACAGCCAGTATATGCTGGTGGAATTGATGTAACCAGCTTATGCCGGTACAATTTGTACCTATAGCCAGCAAGTAGAGGCTCGTCAACTCTTACTCAGTCGTCACGAATTACTTGATAACCACGACTGTGTGGAAGACTGTGAAGACGAAAGAGGCAGCCAGGGACTACGTAAAAGGGCAACAGGAATCCATGAGAGCCTGAGAAGCTTAGCGTTCAGGATAAAAATGCTGCTTTAAAGGGATGGACATGATGGAGAAAAACGGAAAGTGAAAGGGAGAAGCGAAGCTTGCAAGAGTGAGTGAGAGAGAAAGAGGGAGAGAGAGAGAGAGAGAGAGAGAGAGAGAGAGAGAGAGAGAGAGAGAGAGAGAGAGAGAGAGAGAGAGAGAGAGAGAGAGAGAGAGGAAGAGAGAAAGTGGGAGGGACGGACAGTAAGATCTTGAAAAGAGTGAACAAGAAGGCTGGATTGCAAAAAAAAATGGAGGTAGGTGATTGGGAAACTGGGAAAGCCCTTGGCGCTGATTCAGCCCAGCCAACGCCACCTGTTTGGCGGGGTGGTGCGGGGTGGCGTGGAGCGACCCCCCTCCCCCACACACCTGACCAGGTATGTGTCACCGGATTCGGCGCGTGGCTCGGCTGAACGACGAGAAGCGCCGACGCTCTGTAATCATGACCCCGCGGCCCGCATGGACTGGATTAACTGCAGCTTGTGTATCTACCGTCTGACTGGTCAGCCGTCTAACAGTGTCCCTCCTTGCTGTTCTCAGTCCTCACGGAGTGTCCGGCAATGGACGTTTGGAGAGGAGGTGCGGAAGGCGGGCTCGGAGAGTCCGGCGAGTCAGTCAGTCGCGAGTCAGTGGCGGGTCCGTCGGGTCAGTTCCGTCGGGCCCCGCGGGTCCGACAGCTCCGTAGAGCGGCCAGCCAGTCGATATCAGTGGACTGCGCCGCTCCTGTTCACCGAATTGTCAGTGCGAGCACAGTGAGCTCGGGATGGGCCGTCCTGCCGGCTGCTAAACATTGTCTCCGACAACCGGAGGCTACTGCGCCATAAGCTCACGCGACTGTGTTACATAACTGCAAGCATAACTGGAGACTGCGCAATACTTTTCAGAATATAGTGAATGCCTGATTCAATAAAGGTACCCTGCAGGGAATGCATGGCGTATGCGTGCTACATGTACATACTTACCTATGTTACCTAACCATGGCTGACGCTCGGACTATTCTGCATCAATCAACGGCACGAGGGGAGGCATTTACAATCACTTCGTGTTTGGCCTCTAATTTAGGTCATACCTAGAGCTTCGTAGAAAATGGGAACGTGATGCTCCTATCAAGGAAAGGAAGCCGACTGAGCAACCAATATAGGGGTCTCAGGTCAACCAGTGGCCTCAGAGATGATATTTTTACCAAATAACGGGACGAAAGTTTTCGAACTCGGACTCTATGCATGGTCTCTGAGTCTTTTTCTACCATGGAACATACTATGAAAGCGAAAGCATGGACGTAAGAACGGCTGGAACATTGTGGGCGCATAGGTGCGAAATCTAGGCATAGCCGGTGGAGCAGGGGGGGGGGGGGAGGGGGGCTAGGGAGCGGCAACGGACATAGTGTTGTCTCTCGACTTGAGAATGGATTGCCACTGATATTAGAAAACGGTTTCATGCGGGAGGTTCATAGCAAATTGGTGTGTAAGTTAATAAATTATGTGGTTCGTCCAAATGTCTCGAACGATTACTTTGTGAGGAGCTGAGTAAATCCTTATATAACTGGCGCTATCTTTAGTTAACACCGTAACGCTGTCGGCATCGTGTGCTCCGTTCATCAGTGTTGGCTGTTTATCGGCCGCCCGTCTCTCTCGCTCTCCAGTGTATCCCATTTACCTTACTGGCGATACAAGGAGAGAAAGAAACGAGCGACGAGGGAGATGGTGGAACTGGAAAAGGGATAAACGAATAGAAAAGGGGCAAGCTGGTCAGATGGGGTGGGTGGCGGAAACTCGCTTCAGCGGAGCCGCCGCGCCGCCCGGAGCCGCCAGCCCGCACTGAGGCTCGCTCCCCTCGCGCTCGCCCGTCCACCGGCCGCGCTACGGCCCCTCAGGCGCGGTCAGGTCAAGGTCACCGAACACCGGCACGTACAGTGCGGCCCCGGCATTGTCATAGGCTTACGGGTGCGCAAGAGCAATGATGCTACGTTACCGTTAACTGGCATTTGATAACAACATTCCAACAACAACGAAAACTGCTTCCGATTGGAGCCATCAGCAGCAGCTCACTCCCACCTACTGCCCCATTTCCAAACATTGGAATTTGGAAGGATAGCAAGGCCACCGACTTAGCACTCTTTTGTTTTCAGATATTGACAAAGTTTCACAAGAGTGACCGCAGGACTTCCAGACTCGAATGCACCTACCATGCAAGCTCTGGTGAAAGATACGTTGCACCGGTAGGATCTCCTCAGTCGTCACTGTATTTGCTTACTTATTTGTTTGCTTATGCTTTGCTAATGCATCGTTCAAACAAAGTCGTTGATAGGCTAGATTATTTAATATAAACTGCGAAGCCATGATTTAATCCAATTGAACTCTAAAGATATAGCGTTTGCGCAACTAATGTATTGAATATATGACGCATATGAGTTTGTCAATTTTGAAATTGGAGCCGTCAGCGCTTTCTGAACGCCTCAAGTTGCGACACGGTGTGGGCAGACAGAAACACCAGAGCTGTTTTTAGTCCAGCAGTGGGCGATCAGCGACTGACGTTGTCTGAGGAAAGCCGAAGACAGCTTGAGCTGTAGGCACAGTTGAGACTGCGGCGGGCGGTGGGCGGCGGGGCGGGGCGGGGGCGGCCCGCGGGCGGGCGGTGCGCCGGTGCGGCAGGTGTCTGGTGCCGCCGCTCCCCAGTCCGCCCGGTCGGTGCCGGCCGCTCAGTGGTGCCGGCGCCGGCCGGTCGCGTGCACTGGTGTCGCCGCTCCGCCGGCGCCTCGGCAGTCGGCGTGCTCGGCGTGCCCGCCGGCCGTGCCCGGGTCCCCCTCGCGGGCCGCCAGCACCGCAGTCGCTGCTCTCGGTGAGTCGTCATCGACAGCCGGGCTCCTACCGCCGCGCCGGCAGCCGATGTGTTATCCCTCAGGCCTTCCGTCGATAGCGCGCATAACGGCGGTGACATTAGTTACGCACACTGCAAAAAATATCAGTTCCATTCATTCAAAAGCAGATCATCGGGTCAGGCCTAAAATATCATCTTCCAACACGTCAACCTAAGCCCTAACGGGGAGGGGAGGTATTGGAATATGGAACATGCCCCCCCCCCCACCTCTCTGGCTTTTTGTAACTATTAAAACAGCATTAAAACAGTATCTTTTTAAAAGCAATGACCCTTTAGATCTCGAAAGCGAAGCAAGTTAGCGACTAGCGGTAAACACGTTATGGGATGCAGTCGTACATAGAGTGCATACAGAAGGACGATGTCTTCAATTTTCACTAAGATCATTTGACGCCACAATGATCAAAATAGTCGAAATAGGAGCGTTAGAGGTCAGAAAGTGTTTTTTTTTTTGCAAATAACATCTGAACTTATCAAGCTAGAGTGAAACTAATAATACGATCGAGATTCACTCGTCAATCCACTTCAAAATATATATGTATGTCACTAGACCTCAATGTCAACATGCAAATCATGCGATGCGTCTTGACAAGCTGAACACAATGAGACCTTTCGTGTGGCTGTACCTCTTTTCTGTGAGGACTTAAAAGCAAAAACGTTTTGGTGACCTAACTATGATGACATCACATGACCTTACAGTCAAAATTGCAAACAGTGCATCAAAGATAGTCATGTTTGATCGCAAATGGTGTCATTCATGGTAGAAAGGACCATTACAACGCACATTTGAGGAAAAAATGAAGCATAGATAAAATATAAAAGCATAAAAATTGGGATTTCTCTCAATTGACTTGTATCTATTGGGAGGTCAAGAAATTGTCCTGACCTTAGATCGTTAAGTTGGAAAAATCCGAAATATTCAAGTTATAGGTAACTATGGCATTATTACACATTTTCTTTCTTTACATTTTCTTCTTTGTAAAGTAAAGAAAATGTGTAATAAAAAGTGATGAAAAAAACTATGGCATTATTACACTCTTGAATTTTCAAAGGGTTCGGCCATCTACTGTGGCTCTGATACGGTGGCAAAGTTGCAAAAAGTGATGTGAGGTCTGGTCATTCAAAGTGACCTGCCACCTGGTGACCTGAACTTAAACAGTGGGATGTGACAGCTTGACTTCAATGTGTGAAATTAATGAGAAAATAGGCATGTCAACTTTCGTGGCACTATACACGCCGCGATTTTCGACCTATTTACGAAAAACTGGGGTGGGGGACCGTCGGTGTGCGGTTTAAAGATCTACAAGTTAACTTTTATCGTTAACATTATGACCTAAACCTAATTTGACATTTTGTAATCAAATTACGTTTTATCTTATTTGAAAGAGAATCACAATGACAATGAAAATGTTATACAAGCATGGTGATGAAAATAATAGTACTAAACTGTTTTCACAAAGATGTCTATTTTGACTTTTTGTTGTTGTTGCCCTCCACAAAGGCAAAACTGGTCAACTGGGACAAATATGGGGGCATTCCAGCGAAAGCGGAAAGAGCTTCATAAGAGCACTTGAATATGTTTTTACCACAGACGTAACATATAAATGTGTTCCTCCGCTCATTTATACGTCCCTGATTTTTACGCGACGCTGGGGCTCTATCGGTGCAGGAACTATTCGCTGATAATTTGTCTAAAAAATGGTGAAATCGAAAAAATCCTTTGATAACCTTAGCCGGCATGGCATTTGATCTGAGCTATGAAATGACCAAAAAGATTTTGGGGAATATTTGTTTCTGGTCCCTAAAAAGCTGTTTCTGGCATCTAATTGCTGATCAGCCCCAGAATGCTTATTCGACCCTAATATCTGAATCTGACACCTAATTGCTTCCACACAGCCTAAAGTTGCCAGATCGTCTAGTTGAACTCCGTATTTGCTGTTTGCTGATTCAGCACCAAAACCAAAACATCCAGCACCTATTTTATTCCACGTTTGCCTACCTAATTCGCGTAATCTTCCTGATTTTATGTATCCTAACAAACATGAACGTTGCATTCGGTGATGTCAAGTGCCATTTTCGCCAGTGGAGATAATGATTAATGCCATTTCTAGCCAAAAGAGAATCACTAGCCAGCTATGGTGCAGCATAGCAAGACGCTCCTATACCAGCCCGCTATGTAGAGACTAGAGATTATTGCACCCTCAGCCATTTTAACGTGAAAAGTTTGGATCCGTCACTTCCAGCCAGGCTCTCAGGTCATAAACTGGAGTAAAGCAAAATGTAAACTCTGAACAGACATGCCACGCAACCGGCTCTCTTTTCAATATTATTAGCTTTCTGCAATCATCGTCTGACTCCATCTCGATCAAACGCAGCATCCGGTTTCTACAGGGGCGTTTGACTAACCGGCCACACAATAACCAAAAACAAAATCAAAGCTTCATGCACACATATGACATAAGTAAGAAACGGATGAAAAAGGCACAACCACGGCACAACTCTGCGCGGCAAACAACGGACAATGTCCCACGCAAGATCCCGCGTTTCTTCAGCGGCCTTGAACGGAATGAAAACATTACATTTCTTTTTTGGAGCTATTTGATGACGTCAAAAAATACAATACCCGTTTTAATGGTCAAAATCGAGACAATTACTCACAAAAATGTTTCCCTTTAAGCATTACAAATAAATGCTTTTAAATATTTAAATGACATTGTTTTTTTTCAAACAAATCAATATTATTTGCTTACTTAAACGTCATATACAATGCTGAGATCACTACGGGGCTGTCTTAGAGTGTAGCTGCACAAGCAACCTTTAGGCTAGACTCCAGGGGTCATTATACCAGAACAACATGATTCTACCAGCCAGTAGTTCATTTTTCTACTAGATTGGTGCTACGCTCAGCATTTAGGTGCCAGATTCAGAAAAAAAGAGTAAGGTGTACCGATGAATAGGTGCCAGAAACAGCTAATTAAGGTCATTTTCCATGATTGGTGCTGGTATCCACCAAATAGGTGCTGAGGACCAATTTTGGGGCGAGTCAGCTTTTAGGTGCCAGAAATAGCTTTTCTGGGACGCAATTAAATGGCGTCCAAAGATTTTTACGACCATTGCACGTCGCGTACCGTTTGTCGCTATGTGGTCCACGAGCCGATTTAACCCATTTATGCCCAGGAATATTGACCATCATGAAAATCGACGAAATCAAAATATGTTATGCTCCTACCAGGGCCTTGTATGGAATCGAAAATAATTTTTGCCTGCAGCAAAAGTTTCTCGAGAAAAACGTAAAAAACATGCGTTGCGAAATCGCAACGAAGGGCACACCGGGCGCCATCAGCGTTGCGAAAACGCAACGACGGGCACATCAGACGGACATAAAGTACACTGAACTGCCGTATATGCTAATATATTTTGACAAAACATCAATCAACTGTTGACAACTATTGCTTGAAAATGCGGAACCCACATCCGTCATGCTCTATAACCCGCCTAAGAGCCTCAGTGAGGAAGCATAACTTCATGATTCGCGAACGGGGAGATGGCAACACGGTCATTATCAACCATTTACGTTGTCCATTGCTGTTCATTTAAAGTTGTGGTCGACACGTATCCAGGGTGATGCTTTCTTTTTGGAAGCTAGACAGATCCATTACCTCCACCTATCAGACCCTGCACAGTGCACACTGAATACAATTAAACGGAGGATTGGGAGTAAACCAGTGCCTCTCGTATGCGCGTATATCCGCAATCATTTTTAACCACCCTCCTAGGAGTAAAGTTAAATTCCATTGCAGGTTAGTCGTACCCACTCTCAGCAAAAAGAAAAAAGGACCGATCCGGCTCTAACAAATTACCCGCGTAAGGCGTAGCGCATCACAACAAATCGACTCCCAGTTTATCATGTTTACACCTAATCCAAAATTTTCATGGCCCCACTCTCAGCGACCTTCACGTGTAACCTCTTTCTCGAGACAATGCCAGGACAGAATGGTGATTCGACGTCAATCCGTCCTTTCCATCTTCAGGATAGTTGAATCCTCCTCCACGCCTCATCCCCCTGTTCTGGGCTGGACCGGCAACGCATATCGCAATCGGGCAGCTCACATAGGAGCGCGCCTGTAGCCGGGTGCAGTGAGTGCTTGGGAGGGGGGAAGGGGGTGGGTCATGGGTGGCGGCTGCCCACTGGCTGGGCTCAGTCTCCAGTCTACGATTGACCGTGTCCGGTCAGACAAATGTCTCCCCTAATTCCAATAATCCTGCTAGCTCTAAAAATGGTCTGATTAGATAAAAAGCCTATCAAAGTAAGAAAACAGGCGTATACTCCACATCAAGCAGCTTATGAATCTATGCGAGTTATGAATCCTAAAAATTATTATTTTCCCATGGGTCCGCCCTCATTACCCCTGCCGAAGGGCTCAGCTACCCTCAGAGGGGGCCTATCCCACTATTTGCCGACCCTCAGTTATCTTTTCTAACGTAAATGCTGGTAGTCAGCAGATTCTATCCAGAGAATGGCGATGCCTGTCTGTCGCCTGATACCAGAATACATCCCCGTTATTCATTATTTATGCACAACGTACATAGTAGATCCAATTTCCAAAGGACCTAACTGTCTCTCAGCTCCGTTAGCATCGCCGACCGTTTGATGCATGGGTCCTTTTCCTACCATGCGATTTTCAGATGCATGGGAACACATTGCTTAGTGAACGAACAGCCCGAGGCCGAAAATCTGCGAGAGAAAAAGAATGGAGTGTTTGTGGCTGTTTGAGCCAGCAAATATGAAATGTGTCGCAACATTTTACGTGCGAACGCACCTTGCACTAAACATACCTATATACGTCCCTCATGGCATAGGCGGCGGAGCGGGGGGAGGGGGCACCGGGGCACCGTGCCCCCCTTGATTTTGCCATTTTAACATTATCCCGATAGGCGTTGCATGGAAATGGAAATGGAAAGAA